ACTCACAACAGTAGCAGAAGTACAGTTATGATGTAGCAACAAAAATCTTATGGCTGGGGGGTCATAGCCATAGGAGGGACTTATTAACGGGTCACAGCATTAGGGAGGCTGAGAACCATTGTTCTAGAAATTTGAACCAACACTGGCTGCTGAGTTGTGTTGAACTGAATTGTTTTCTGCCTCACTCAGATCACTACCCTGCTGGTACTAGTGTTTGCAGAGACTCCCACAGCTGTTAACCACTGAGATACCTCTCAGCCCCTCAAGGAGAACTTTATATTGAAAGTGTTGGGCCAGTATTTTGGTTTGTGAAAGTTTATCCACAACCGTTGGTAGCATTTCCAATTTTCATAGTTATGGTCATAATCCTTAGTGTTATTCCCCACCCTCAGGGGCCAGAGAGGGTGTCAAATCCCTTGGACCTAGAGTTACAGGTGTTTGTGAGCTGCCTGTCTTAGTGGGAAATGAACGCAGCTCCTCTGCAGAGCTGTATGTGCTCTTCATTGCTGAGCTGTTTCCAGTCCCTGATGGTTGTGATTCAGCTTCCTGAGTGCTGGGATGACAGGCATGCCTTATAGTGTCTGGCATTTATGACTCTAATGTCTGCCTCCCTTCACGAGAATGTGAATGTTCCCAAGACCATGAGGTCTGGTCTATTTTAATTCCCATCACCAGGGTACATGGCTGGATCAGAGCGCGCGCTCGCGCGTGCACACACACACACACACACACACACACACACACACACACACACACACACACACACGCATGTGTGAGTACACACATACTATATCATACCATATATACACCTAAAATAGTTGCAGAATGAATGAAGAAGCCTGTCATTCCACCACTTGAGTTCAAGGCCATCCTCTGCAATACAGTAAAATGCAAGCTAGCCTCAGCTACACAACATCCTGCCTGAAAACATCCAAGCATGGTGGTACAGGTTTGTAATCCCAGCACTGGGAGGAGGAGTGGGTTTATCCAACATCTGCCAGTGAGGATGGACGTAGGATGGCTCAGTAGTGGTGTCCCTGCATGTTTTGGCTATATAACAAGACCCTGTTTCTGGGACAGGTGAGATGACTCACAATAAAGTCACCAAACCCAAGGACCTGAGGTTCACACACGCATGACCATACACATACATACAAAATACACAAATGAGAAGCCAGGAGGTGGTGGCACACACCTTTGATCCTAGTACTTGGCACAGGCAGGCGGATCTCTGTGAATTTGAGACCAACCTGGTCTACAAGAGCTAGTTCAAGGACAGCCTGCAAAGCCACAGAGAAACCTTATCTCAAAACAACAAGAATACACAAATGAATATAACAAAAAATTGATTTGTTATTTCTTTCATTTTGTCTATGTCGTCCTGGCTGTCCTGGAATTTACCATGTAGACCAGGTTGGCCTGGAACTCAGAGATTGTCCTGCCTTTGCCTCTAGATCAATAGGGATCTACTCTCACATACCCACACACACATACATAATTAAAAATAAAGTAAAAATCTAAAAACAAAGCCAACAAATGAATAAAGCAAAGATGATCTAGGCTTGGTGGCTCACACCTTTAATCTCAGCATCCGGAGGCAGGCAGATCTCTGTGAGTTCAAGCCTGGCCCATAAAATAACCAAATAAATAACAGCTGAGGGGAGTTCAGGTTCACACCTTTAATCTCAGCAGGCAGATCTCTGAGTTCAAGGCTACCCTGGCCCATAAGTAAATAAGCAAATGCTGAGGGGAGCCCAGCTCTGTGGGAAGATTAGAACAAACTAGACAGATGTAGACAAATGAGCAAATTATGATACTGATGACAAGGAAAGCTAGGATTCTTTCTTTTTTTGGTAATTTAACTGTGTGTGTGTGTGTGTGTGTGTGTGTGTGTGTGTGCGCGCGCGCGCTCGCGTGTGCGTGCGCGCAGTCATGCATGGGCCATGGTGCTGTTCCATTTCCTTGGCTTGTAAGTTTATTCAGACCCTTCATTGGCATTTCTGCGTTTTACAGTTGCTGTCATAATCTTATCACCCTGGGCACCTATGGATCCCAGGGATGAAACTCGGGTCTTTAGGACTGGTAGCAGGTACACTTAACTACTTAGCCACTTTGCTGCCTCTGTTTCTGGCTTTTTGAAGAAGGGAAATACAAATATAGTAACGCGAAAGGCTAGGAGGGTAACATATGCCTCTCTGGACACTACTTCGAGGTGTAAACAAACGTGTAATCTATGAAGACAAAAAACCACACAGGCTCGAAAATGAACATTTGGATGTAGATATGCACCCATCAAATGGCAGTGGGCCCATCTATCAGTCACCTATCAAGGTCTCTAAGTACAGCTGTCCTTGGGGAGACCGGTTCAAGAATTTCTACCATCATCCAATCCAGGGATGCTGAGATGCTCAAGCCCCTTTTACAAGAGGGTCTTCTATGGGCTGGGAGTGTGGCTGAGTGGTAGAGCACCTGCCTAGAATCCCCCAGTGAGGGGCTGGGAGTGTGGTTGAGTAGTAGAGCACCTGCCTAGAATCCCACAGTGAGGGGCTGGGGGTGTGGCTCAGCGGTAGAGCACCTGCCTAGAATCCCACAGTGAGGGGCTGGGGGTGTGGCTCAGCGGTAGAGCACCTGCCTAGAATCCCACAGTGAGGGGCTGGGGGTGTGGCTCAGCGGTAGAGCACCTGCCTAGAATCCCACAGTGAGGGGCTGGGGGTGTGGCTCAGTGGTAGAGCACCTGCCTAGAATCCCCAGTTAGGATATGGGGCTAGGCAGCAGAACACAAATGACTATACTATAACAAAGAGATAAAAGAAAAAAAAAAAAGCCAGGTGGTGGTAGCTCACACCTTTGATCACAGAACTTGGGAGGCAGAGGCAGGTGGATCTCTGTGAGTTCCAGGCCAGCCTGGTCTACAGAGCAAGTTCCAGGACAGGCTCCAAAGCTACAGAGAAATCCTGTCTTGAAAAAAAAAAAAAAAAAAAAAAGCAAAACAAAAAAGATGCTCAAAGTCTCAAAAGTATCTTTCCTCCCCCAATATGGACTAAATACCTCAGTCAGGTGTCTGACACTAATATGTCATGGTTTTAACTACACTGTACAGGACCAGAAAACAGTCTCATTTCTGGGATGTCTATGGTGGAAGTGCGAAAGGATGGTCCAATCAGGAGGAAAAACTGGACTAACCCAAATGAAAGAGCAGTTTACCTGCCAAGGTCATGAAAACTCACAGGCTACAAATTATTCTGTGTTGAGAATAGAGTTAGGACAACTGGTTATGATGTCTGATACCATGGTAGATTTCTTTTTTTGTTTTTCAAGATAGGATTTCTCTGTGTAGCCTTGGTTGTCCTGGAACTCGCTCTGTAGACCGGGCTGGCCTGGAACTCACAGAGATCCACCTGCCTCTGCCTCCTGAATACTTCGAGTGCTGGGATTAAAGATGTACACCATCCCAGCACTTGGCAGGCAGGGGCAGGGAGATGTCTAAGTTTGATAACAGCCTGATCTACAGAGGGAGTTCCAAGGCAGTCAGGGCTACACAGAGAAACCCTGTCTCAAAACAAACAAACAAACAAACAAACAAGCAAGCTAACAAAATTCTCTTATCTTTGAAATGTAGTTCAGTTAGTTTGCCTGATCCTGCATGTTTGGGGTATAGTAGCAATAGCATAGCAGTAAGGATGCCTTAGGATTTTTTTTTTCCTGAGGTGGGATTAGAATTCTGTGGATGGAGTATGTCTTGAAGGGCTAGCAAAGAGTCGGCCCTCATGCTTAGCCTTGCAGAGTCCTGAACCAAGCCAAGGTTGTCCTTCCTTGGCTCTAGCAAGACATTTGTGGAGCGCCCCTAGGGGCGAAGGGAAGCAAGACCTGGGGAAAGGCCTGGGGCATTACAAGGTGTGAGAAGAGGGAGGTGCACTTGCTCCTTGCCCCAGACTGTCTTTTAGTAGGTGGAGTCTGTTAGGGAGTGCCTTGCCTGGAAGGGCAAAGGGCTCTGTCTTCTGATAGCCACAACCAGCCGACAGGAGTCTCAGTCAGTCACCAGGCCACCTCTCTAGGGACACTGACAGGTAAGTGTCTGCAGCCCACTCACTATTAGTCCCTGAGTAGAATGTAGGAAACCCTTTCCCTCTGGGAGTCCCAAATACTCTGTCCATTCTGCTGAACCCGGGCAAGTGGCTCTGTCTGCCATTCCTGAGTAAGACCCAAAGTCCCAGCTAGCCAGACTTAGGGCTCTCCTAGGGCTTTACAAGATGAGGGTGGAGAGCCCCCTAGAGGCAAAGTGTGGTAAGACAAGGTGGAAATAATAGGGCAGGTAGATTAGGGCCAGGGTCAAGGCCAGGGCAGAAGTACCAAGGGTGGGGCTTGTCTGAGTGAGATCACTGCCTCCCCATCCATTACCCTCCAACAGACCCAGAATCCCAAGCAGCTGGAGCACTGGGGGACACCCGGGCAGAGCCTTCCCTGGAGCAAGTCCTGCAGGAGCGGGATGAAGCCATTGCTAAGTGAGAGAAACTGCAGATGGGGGTTGTGGGGGGGACCCACTCCTGCTACAGGAGAGGACAGGGACTCCAGACACCCCTGGAAGGAAGCCACTAGAAATCCCCTGCTGCTGTCCCCACTGCCTGCAGGAAACGTGCGGTGGAGGCTGAGCTGGACTCCTGTAGAGCCAGGTTGCGCAGAGTGGAGGCTCAGCTTCTGGAAGTCCTGCAGGAGAAACTGAGGCTGAAGCAGGAAGTGGAGGCCTGGGAGGTAGGGTGGGGCCTCTGACTCGGGAGGCTTGGAATAAGCCCCTCAGTCCCCGGGATGGCTTTGAACCCTCGGTCTCTCTTGTCGGCAGGAAGACATGCAGCAGGTGGTTCGAGAGCGGGTTCAGAGCCAACTGCAGGAAGAGTCCAGGGGCGCTCTGGGCACACAGGAGAACACAAGTGCTGGCAAGAACTCCTGGCTCCTCCTCTCCCGGAGTCAGTGGGGCCGATGGTGGTGAAAACGGATCCCAAAACTTTACGGAACTGCCTTTATTTATTAAAGGGTTGGACCTCCTCTGTACCCCTGGGCCCTCTTAGTGCCCACCTGAGTTTTTCTGTGCAGAAGCAAGGGAGAGGTTGCAAGGGTACCAAGCCCAGAGTTTCCTGTCTGCTCTTTCAAAGAGTCACTTCTTAGGCCAAGAAGCTGCTGATAGCATCCATGAAGTCTTGGGGTTTGTCATTGGGGACCCAGTGGCCAGCATTAGGCACGGTCTGAATTTGGGCTTGAGGAAAGAGGCGTCTAATCTCTGAGTGGTGGCTGGGTCTGGCCACAACAGTGAAGTCAAAGGAGAGAGAACAGGAGAGAATGAGAGTTACATGAGCCTACATGCCCAGTGGTGTTGCTGGCTCCCAGATCCCCCATGCCCACACCCAAGCCCTCCTCCACTGAAGCGGGTCTCCCACAGCTGGCGGTGGCTGAGGCATGCCCCTTCCTATGGTTCCACATTGACTTACTTTACATATGTAGAATTTCCACCAATGAGAAAGAGAGTTGGCCCCAAGTAGGATTCACATTGTTGTGGGAAGGTCAGAATCTTGTCCAAGTGCTGAGCTAAAGCCTCCAAGTTCACTCTCCAGGAGAATCGTCTGTCTACCCTCACCAGGTTAGTGAGCAGGAACTGCCGAATGGCTGGGTCCTGTGGGTGGAGGGGGCAGTCAGGCAGTTGTGAGAGACTCTCTGTGAGACCCACACACCACTTTTTCCTCTGACATGTTACATGGGGGTGAAGGAAGGGGTTATCATGTATCACCTTGACAGTGGAGCTAAGTTGTTCATCTACCAGTTTTCGGGCCTGGGAGTGCGGCACGTTCTCCGGGATATCAATGGCCTTCATGGCTGCTATGTAGCTTCCGATGTATGATCCAGGTGTGGTTCCTATCGGGCTTATGTCTACAGCAACCAATCGTTCCACAACATCTGGCTATGAGACAGAATCTCACTGAGGCTCTGGCACAGTTGCTGGGTCTTGGCCATCCAAGGCTGGATGGGTCCCACATTATTAGTTGGGCACTTACGGTTTATAATGCATTAAGAAGAGGACCCAGATAGATGCAGCTCACCCTCTGCAGTGCCAGATGCATGGCTGTCTTTCCTCCCATGCTGTGACCAATGAGGACGCAGGGCACGAGGCTCAGCTTTGACAGGAGGTCCTGAATGTCCTGACTCATGGCCTCATAGCTTGCATCTGGACTGTGGGGACTGTCACCATGGTTCCGAGCATCCACTGTCAACACCTGGGGAGCGGGGTGAAATAGGAGAAATGGTGGTACTCTGATTACAGACAATGAAAAGCCTAGTAGAGACTATGACGCAGTCAGGGAGATGAAGCTGGGGAAATAATTGTGTTTGTGTATGAGTATGTGTACATTTTCATGAGCATGGAGAGGCCAGAGGTCAATCTTGAATGTCTTCCTTAGTTGCAATCCAACTTATTCCTTGATTTTTATTATGTACATATATGTGTGCATGTATATATGAATGCAAGTGTTTGTGAGTGCACGTACATGCCATGGTGTGCATGTGGTGTTCAAATGACAGCTTTAGGTATGGAACAGAGAGGAGCCTCAGACCAAAAGAATCAAGAGAGAGCATGGCAGACATGACTGGGTTATACAGGAAAGAGAAGCTGGAGGAAGGGAAGTGAAGGCCCAGGGCTGGATAAGTTTATGGTAGGGAGTGGGGTGAGAAGAGCAGAAGCCAGCGTGCACTTTGGAATGCAAATAAGTACCACAAGTAGCCACTTGTTCTGAGTTTCTTTGGGACCTGAGAGAGGGGCAGGCGGAGATCTGTAACATAAATGGACGAACTGGAGGACACCTTGCAGAACCCGACCTCTTCGAAAATGTTTTCCGGGTTACTGTGCAATGAAACTTTCCGATTATTAGTAGGAGCCCAACCTGAGGAATTGAAGCTAAATCCTACCCTCAGACTTCCTCCTTAGTCCCGCCCACCCATGCCCCGCCCCACCCGGAAGCTCACACTCCTGCCGGTCCTCCGGACCATCACTTTGGCTATGGAGCTGAAGTTGGTTTTGCTGCCGAAGAGTCCGTGCAAAAGGACGATGGCTGGGAGTGTCGCGTCTCCATCTAGAAGGTTATAGGACAGCGGCAGCGGCCTGGAAAGTGGGGACCGCCATGAAGAAAGGGGGAGAGTAAAGGAGAGAAGGGGCGAGGCCAAGCGAGGGGCGGGGCCAGCCCGGCCACGTGCGAATATTAGTGGGGTACCACCCACCCGGTGTCCTTGACTGACCTCGGATCGGCGTTTCCTTGGCCACTACTGCGGCCGCTGCTGTGGACCACAGGCACCGCCAAGCATCTGAGAAAGGAGGCGCCAAGCCTCCCACGGGGGACTCTCCACGCTCGCGCCCAGCGGAGCATGCCCACACTTGCGGCCTGTAGGGTGTGCTTCCTCGGTATGCCGGCTCACGCTCCGCCTCCCAGAGCCCTGCCCGTTTGCAGCTAGGGCTCCGCCTATCTTCCTGCTCTGTCATAGGCTCCACTCTAGGTCACGTGGCCTAACGTAATCCCGCAGCACAGTTCAGCCCCCTTGTTGTACCATTACCCAATGCAGGGGCTTCTTGGCCACGCCCTGGGCGGAGCCTCCAGAAGAGTTGGTCCTTGCATATTACGCAATTCTTGCTGCGGCTCGGAATCTGGTCCGGAGGACTAGCTGTCTTGGTTACGCGCTGGGCGTAGCCATCCAACGCTAGCCCTGCCCCACTTGCACAACTGCTCAATTCCCGCAGACACTATGAGCCGCCTAGAGACGAGATCCCTGCCAGGACCAGGGCGGTGTCACATGGGATTGGCCCTGTCTCTTGGGCATTACCCAGTATCCTTCAGACCTGTGAGCACCTGCCACGCCCTAGGAAGGGTCACCCCATTGGTCTGTTTTTTGCATTATCAATCATCGTAGCCTCTGCAGAGGAGTTCCTTGGCCACACCCTGGGCGGAGCCACCGGAGACTCTGGGACCGCCCCTTGCATCATTACGTAATTCCCACCTACTGAGCCGCCGCGAGCTCTGCGTCCTTGGTCACGCCCTACTAGGGGCGGAGCCACAAGATAACCTGGGCTATCCCTTGCTTGATTTCGCAAACCCTTAAGATGCTGCAGGCCGGGAACTTGACTCCTTGGCCACGGCCTGGGCGGAGCCACCCAAGATTCTGGCCCCACCTCTTGCACCATTACCTAATGCTGGCTTGTCCGAGAGGACCTCCCGGAGCTCCTTGGCTATGTTGTAGACCACGCCCCGGCCCTTAAGTGGCACATAGTCTATTCTAGAGTTCCCCCACCTTGACCAGAGATTCAAGGAACCGGCGCGGGGCGTGTCCCTGGCAAGCTGAGGACCTCTTTTCTCCGCTCTTGATCCGACCCCACCTGGTCCTCACCTCCGTCCTCAGGCACCGCCCTGGGTGTATGCCAAGCTCTCTGTGCCTCTGGCAAGAACAGAAGGCGCCAGGAGTGGCTCTCGTCCTAGCTCCCGCCAGCTTAGTGGCGCCGTGCTCCACAGCTAGGGGTCCTGCCAGGCTCCCCAGACCATAAATGCTTTGTTTCCTGAAGTCCCCTCAAGAAAAACGTAGACGAGGCTCAATCGCCTTTGGTTTGAAAGGGGTAAACTAAACTAAAAGGCTTCACTTCTAGGAATGAAGGGACCAGACCCTCACTCAGCCCCTGCTTTAGCAGCCATGACAGGCTACAGAAAAGACAAGTAGGCCTCTGACACAAGGAAACTCCAGATCCTCTGGCCTCCTGGAGCCTAGGGCCAAAACTGAACACAGAGAAACTCCAGCCTCCCAGCCTCCTAGGTATTTGGTTCTTGGGAACTGTTTGGCCACAAAAGAAACAACAGGGAAAACCTCCTCTATAGTCTCCAGGATACAGTTCTAAAAACTATTGGTATCTATGTACAACAGGCCACCTGCAAGTAACTTGACAAAGCCAGAGAAACCACAGAATGTTCACTCTCAGCACTGACCAATGAGAATACCTGGTACACAGGTATTTCATGCCAAAATATGATTTTGAGAAATTCTCCTGATTGTTCCCAAATGTCAGCCAATCAGAAACCAACCTGTACCTACTGATGTAATCCTGTAACTTTTGTCTTTAAAACCTAGCAGCAGACAGGGAACTTCACCCCCTCTGGAGGCTGCTGTGTCAGCTTGCTAGACGGGGTCCCTCCCGAGGTAGGATGGACAATTCAATAAACCTCGTGCATTTGCATCGGTGGTCTGTCTCCCTGGTCTCTTTGGGGATCCTTGCGACTCAGGCACAACAGCTTGAACTGGTAAATTGAGGTGCAGAGAGGACAAAAGATTGGTCCAACAGGCATAACCAGAGTCTTGGTGTGGTCTTCCGTTTCTACTGCAGGTCAGTTTGGGAGACCAGGATCAACCCTTAGCCAGGGATTTGTACTGTAGTTGCTGCTTGAATAGAAATGACTCCGGGCTGGGCGAGGTGCCTCACTCTTTTAATCCCAGCACTTGGGGAACAGAGGCAAGTGGGTTCTCTGTGAGTTCAAAGCCAGTCTGGTATATAAGCCAGAGCTACGTAGAGAAAATCTGTCTAAAAAAAGAAAAAGAAAGCAAGAAAGGGCCCGGACTAACAACTTGCCATTAACTAGCAGAGAGTGGTAATACTCTCACCCTGAGAACACACCCTTTTCCACACTGGAATCACTTCCCAAGGGGACCCTGCCTTCTGCCCCTCCTAGTCTAGGGAAAGTCGTTTTTTAAATCTCAGCCCCTTTCTTCTGAGATCGATCCTTTAGCAGTTTGGAGCTGTTTTCATCATAGCAAACACATCTGCTGGAGATCCCTTCAGGACTCTTTGTTATTCAAGCTAAGTTTCCCATAGAGCTTCAAGACCTCCAGTGGGATCCTTCCCAGAATCCCCAACCAGACACCAAGCCATTGGATCTTTATTCCCTTTCGTCCTTCTGTGGCACTGCCATGTCTTCTGCCCTGCTAGTTGCCTAGCCGAGTACACACACATGCACACAAACAGAAAGAGAGAGAGAGAGACTTATATAATTATTTTATGTGTATGAGTGTTTTGCTTGCCTTATGTGTATGGCATTTGTACCTTGTGTCTTCAGAGTTTAGAAGAGAGCATAGGCTCCCCTGGAGCTGAAGTTACAGATGGTTGTGAGCCACCATGTGTGTATGAAAGGGAAAAATTAATAAAAGTCTGAAACCCAGACTCCAAAGCCCAAATAGAAAAACTCTTAAGCTTCTCTGAGTTCCCAAAAGGCAGCCCAACAGACAAGGTTAAACGAAGGTCCACATGACTCAAGGCCTTAGACCAGATATCACACCCTTGAGCTGTGTGGACCTTCCTCTAGTCCAAAGAGGATCAGATAGTTATCAATTGTAGAAGTCCCCAGCCCAGGAGATAATTAACAAACTCATTTCCTCTGCAGCATCCTGCTAAGCATACAATCATTGTCCCATCCTTTGTAACCACTGAAGTTTTGTAATCTTGAGGCTTCCAGCCCTACAATTTTCCCTTATAAAAACACCCCTCAGTCGAAAGTGGGCATTCCATTTGTTCCCAAACAAATGGGGTCCTTGCTGCAGCTCGTATCCTCCAGCCAATAAAGAAACCTTTGTCCTCTCCTTGTTGGTGGATTCTTTTGTGGTTCCGAGATCTGGGCACAACAGGTATTAGGAACCATATTCCAGTCCTCTGCAAGAGCAGTGTGTGCTCTTAATTACTGAGCCATCTTTCCAGCCCTTTTTGTTTGTTTTTGAGACAAGGTCTCTCTATTATATAGCTCTGACTGCCCTGGAACTTGCTGTATAGACCAAGCTGGCTTCAAACTCACAGAGAATCACCTGCCTCTGTTTCTTTAGTGCTGAGATTAAAGGTGTGAGCCATTATACCTGACAACTGTTTTTTGTGTTTGTTTTGTTTTTTAAGGACAAAAATCTTATGTTGCTCAGGCTAGCCTCAAACTTTATATGTAGCTAAGGATGACCTTAAATTCCTGATCCTCTGGCCTTCATTTCCCAGGTGTTGGGACTACAGATATTCTAGGGGATTTTTGTTTGTTTGTTTGTTTGTTTTCTGGTTTTGAGACAGGATCTCAATATACAGCCCAAGCTGACCTCAAATTTCTGAGCTGGCCCAAAAGTCATGATCTTGATACTTTAGCACTGTGGATGCTAGGATTGCAGGCCTTCAACACCATCAGGCTGGCCTCCAACTCACAGAGATCCACCTGCCTCTGCCTCCCAAGTGCTGGGATTAAAGGCCACCAACACCTGGCATGTATACAGTATTCTACCTGCATGTATGCGTGCATGCCAGAAGAAGACACCAGATCTTATTACAAATAGTTGTGAGCCACCATGTGGTTGCTGGGAATTGAACTCAGGACCTCTGGAAGCCCATCCAGTGCTCTTAACCTCCGAGCCACCTCTCCAGTCCTATTTTACATTTTTAATTTTATTTGTTTTATTTTATGTGTACTGGTGTTTTGCCTGCATGTTTGTCTGTGTAAAGATGTCAGATCTTAGAATTATAGATAGTTGTGAACTGCCTTGTGGGTGCAGGGAATTGAACCTGGGTCATTTGAAAGAGCAGTCAGTGCAATTTACTCACTGAGCCACCTGGAGCCTTCCTTTTGTTCCCTTTTTTTTTTTTTTTTTTTGAGGCAGGGTTTCTCTGTGTAGCTTTGGAGCCTGTCCTGGCACTTGCTCTGGAGACAGGGCTGGCCTCGAACTCACAGAGATCCACCTGCCTCTGCTTCCCAAGTGCTGGGATTAAAGGCATGTGCCACCAATGCCCAGCCTCAATTTTTTTTGTGTGTGTGTGATTTTTTTTTATTAGTTCAAATCAGGAACAAGCTTGTTTCATATGTCAATCCCTTCTCCCTCTCCCTCCCCTCCCCCCACCCCCTCCCCCCTGCATCCCTTCACGTGGGATGGGCTCTCAAAGTCCCTTCTTACACCAGGGAAAAATACTAATCCACTACCAGGGGTCCCCTAGAGTGCAGAGGCCCCCAAATTGACATCCATGCTCAGGGGTCTGGATCAGTCCTGTACTGGCCTCCCAGACAGCAGTCTGGGGGTCCATGTGCTCCCCCTTGTACAGGCCAGCTGCCTCCGTGGGTTTCACCAGCCTGGTACCGACCCCTTTGATCTTCATTCCTTCCTCTCTGCAACTAAGTTCCAGAGTTCAGTTCAGTGTATATCTGTGGGTGTCTGCCTCTGCTTCCATCAGCCACCGGTTGAGGGCTCTGAGGCTTGGGCGCCCACCGCCTCTAGTCCCAATTTTTAAATTATTCATAAACTTTATTATAGAAAAAAGTCTTGGGCTGGTGAGATGGCTCAGCAGCTAAAAGCACTGGCTGCTCTTCCAGAAGTCTTGAGTTCAATTCCCAGCAACCACATGGAGGATGGGAACACACCACCTATAGTGGGATCTGATGCCCTCTTCTGGAATGAAGGTGTACATGCAGACAGAGCACTTGTATACATAAAATAAATAAATAAATAAAGCTTTTTAAAAAAATCTTGCAAATAATTAAAAACACATACCAAAATTAGCAAGACCCAAAGTCTATACAATCCAATGGTTATTTGAAACAGAAGCTGCGGAGTGCCACATTAACTTCTATGCTTTCAGTATCAAATATATTTTATGCACTTATTCACCACCAAAATAAACAAACAAAAAATCCACGACAGGCTTAGAGCTAGAAAAACGATTATATCATCTTTCATAATCCCAGTCTTCTACCTGCATTCAGTCCTTCCTCACAACCTTATGTT